CCACCTCCCTTGAAGCACTGTCATTTGGGGCCTCTGTTCTAGAAGGGGGTGCCGTTGCTGCTTGGTGTGTTGTCCATCCCCTCCACAGGATGGCAGCTGCACTTAATCTCTGGTGGCCACCATGGAGGTGCTCTTCTCAGGTTGGCCTTCAAGAGAGAAGCCTCTGCAAGAAGTGCAGTCAGCTGACAGCCTCCAGCTACTTGGGGATCCTCCGCCACATTCAACTCATCCTGCCCAACCTGGGACCCCACTACTGGCCATCTTTGCTCCAGAGACACCTGGGGCCGGCTGAGGCTCCCCCGCCCAGCTCTTCAATGGCCCCTCTCCTTCACAAGCATTGTGCTTGGTGCGTTACAGGCTCTCCCTGACTACTCTGCCCCTCGCCCCTTTCTCCTTTACAGCTCCTTCTCCTAACACAGTTCTTGCATTTCTAACTCCAATTTGTTGTCTACTTCCCAGGGGACCTGAACTGACACTTTTGCCCCGGGTCATATCCCCAGCACCCAGACGAGTGCCTACCACATAGTAGGCACTCAACAGAATTTCCAAGTGAGCACAAAAAACACAGTGGGCAGTCAATACGTGTATGTTGAACTCAGCAAATTGCAAAGCAGCTGGGAAACAACCATCGCCGACTTCCCTGAGCGTGACGCTCCCGCAGCCGTGTCAGCTGCGGTGCTTTGCCAATGCGAACAGGAGTGGAGAGTTAGACCCAGGCCCACTCCAGCTGCTGGGCCCCTTGCTCAATGCAGCCCCTTCCTGCCACCTGCAGAGTGGGGTCTTCCTGAGCCCACAGAGGGCACAGAAGGAAACATCTGCTCCCGTCCATACAGGCCTCCCTGGCATGGGCACCCTGAGAGTCCCAGTCCCGGGAGCCAGGAATAATAAAGAGGCTGCCAGGGCCAGGACCCTGGGACTCTGGCTGAGGACAGAGCATGCCTCTTCAGTGTGCTGGGCAGGAGGCTGATTGAGCTAAATGAGTTTTGTTGATGGTGACCCTTTGTTCCTCCATGGCGGCTCCATCTGAGGAGTGTTTTGGAGGCTGTTCATTTTCCCTGCTTCCCCTGCTGCTGCCCCAGAGACAAGGACAGCGGCCTCCCAGTGGCCTGCTGGTTTGTAAAAGAGTCAGGTGTGGGAGGTTGCATCATGTGCTTCTCTGGACTCATGGTCTGCAAGGACGTATGACAAGTGTGGCTGTAGGTCGATGAGCTGTGTGTGGCTTAGTAATGGGCAGTGGATGAGCCAGCGGGAGCAGCAGGTGGCCCAGGCCCCAGGGATGAACATGGGGGAGCTGGGTCTGATGTAGGCAGGAAGGAGATGTCAGCAGCAGCAGCCCCAGGGCATCGGGGCACAGGGTACGGGAGTGGGGGCAGAGACAAGCCAGAGATGCCTGGATGATGCATTCTGCCGAAATAACAACCTTGAATCCAGGGCTGGGCCTGGCTGTGACTTGGCCTGGACAGGGCTGGTGAGCAGCAGGTGTGCTGACTGCAGTTGAGAAGCCATCGGTGTCAGACCAGAGTCCCCGGGCTCTGCACCTGAGGCTGCTGCGAGAGGAGAGCGATAGGGGCTCAGGCATGTCGAGGAGGTAGGTGGACACATGGAGGTGGGGCTCCAGGAAGGGGACATAAACATAGCAGGTCTTGGAGCTTTCTCCTTCAGGGGCAGGGGCAGGAGGACGGCCACCTGGCTTCACCACGAAGGGCCCGAGAGCACGGCATGGAGGGAGAGGCAGATCTGGAGAGAACACTGGCTGGTCTGCGGAGGGAGGTGGAGGAACAGGTTGAAGAGGGAAGAATTCCTGACACAAACCCCGAAATGACAAAGGGAAAGAATGACAAATCCAATTACACAAACATGAGCAACTTCCAAAGACCAATCACAAAAACAATCACAAAGTCCCCACCAACACGGCTGAAAGTAAAACAATCAGCCAAGAAGAAATATTTGTCACCTGCAGACCATGGCAGACACAGGATTTTATTTTAAAGCACCCTACAAATCACTAAGAAAAAAACCCCAAAGAAATAGCAATCTGGAAAAGGACACAAAGAGGGAACGTGCAGAAGAGGAAGTGCCAGCAGCTGCCAAACCCACGGTCCACGAAATCCTGGGTCAAACAGGCAGGAGACGACATGACAAGGTGCTACTCTCTGCCCATCGGGTCAGCACAGATTTAAAAACAAGGACCCGGTATTGCCAAGGATGTGGGGAAAGAGCCCTGTGGGTGAGGGCGTCAATTGGACAATGCCTGTCAACTTCTATAATAATCATGTGTGCTTCCTTTTGATCCAAGAATCCCACTGGGGTGGATTATTCCTGTAGAAATGTTTGCTCAGGTGTGCGAAGATACCTGCATAAGACCTTTCATCTCAGCATTGTGTGTGATGCTGATGCCACAGCGTGGTGCCAAGATACCTTATGGAGAGGACCTGGAAGGCCTGGCCAAGGGTGGGGGCCATGGTGCTGTGGTCCCTGCCTAGAGGATGCCTGGCTGGTGCAGGGCAAGAGGGAGGTGGTCCTGGAGGCAGCATTGCCTTGATCTAACCATAGGAGCGCACTGGACAGGGGTCCTGTGCATGTGGGATCGGGGTCCCCCAGGCCCCATCTGTCCCCTCATGCCCGGCGGCATTGAGCAGGTGTCTTAGCCACTCTGACCTCCACATCCTCCTCTGTGAAACGGGGTGTAACGGGACTCCCTCTTGGGCTCCTGAGATCCTGGCATGTGTAGCGCTGTTCAGGTGCAGTTCTAGGCCCTCTACCTTCACTGGGCTTAGGTAGCCTCCTACCAAAGGAGCATGAGAAGACACAGAGAAGCCAAGCAATTGCCTGAGGTCACACAGCTGCCCAGTGGCCGCAGAGGACACAGCTGGTGTCCCATCCATCAATCACCCACCCTCCCCATGCAGGACTTGCCTCTTCACGTCTAAGCCTGGGACGCCCGAGCAGGATCCTTGGGCTGCTTCTCCCAGCTGCAAGGATGGGCAGGCTCCACAGCTGGAGGCCTGGAGAGTCCCTGCCCCAGGAGAGGGTCTCAGCCAACAGTGGCTGTGGGGGTGGTGGACAACTACTCTAGCCCCTTGCTACTTAGTGTGGCAACCTCTGGGGCCTGCTCCACGCTATCTCCCAGGGCTCCCCGCAGCACAGGGTTCCCCGCAGCACGGAGCCTGGTGCTTCACTGGTAACTGCTTTGATAACGCATACTTTACTGGCTTCTTCCCTCCCCTGCCTCTCGTGCCCTCCCCTGGGGATTCCTGCATCTCTCAAACCAAGCACTTGCTCTGGAATCCTGGTCCCGGGGTCTGACTCTGAGCCCTCGCCCGAGACAGTGGAAAAAGCCAGAGTTGGGCCAGGAAGTCAGGTTCCAGAACCTACTTTTCAAAAGTTTTGGTTTTTGTTTTGATTTGTTTTGTTAAATAAAGAGGCAATGGTGTCTTGCTTCGCTCCGTCATTCAGGCTGGGGTGCAGGGGGCAGGCAGCCTCGAACTCCTGGGCTCAAGCCATCCTCCTGCCTCAGTCTCTTCAAGCGCTGGGACTGCAGGTGTGACCCACTGCAGAATCTGTTCAGTGGGCGGCTGGACTGGTTTCGACCCACTGGACTGGTTTGCAAAACTCGCCACCCGGCACAGTATCTGGACATTTTCCTAGATTGTGACAAGGGGCCGCTGCCAGGGGAGAGTGAGGGACCGTTTACCCCCTGTGCCCTTCTGTCCCTGGGTCAGAGCCTGAAATTTATTGCACCCACCCGCCCCAGGGACAAAGTCCTCTGCACAGGGCGGGCAGCCAGCCCCTGGACCAACGCCTCAGGAAGGTAAAGAAGCTGGGTCCACCCGCGCTCGTCACCTGATTTTGGTCCAGGGCAAGCGGTCCAGGGCTCCTCCTGCCTAAACTGGTTCCTCCCAGCGCCATCCAGAACCCGGGGTGCAGAGGAGCCTAGTGCTTAGGTCAGAGGCGCCACCTGCTGGTGACCATCAGGAGGTGCTGGCGCCTGGTTCTCTGCTGGAAGACTGGCATCCACTCTGGAGTATCCAGGGCTGTCACCCAGGAGGGCTGTCACGCAGGAGGGCTGTCACCCAGGGAGGCTGTCACCCAGGAGGGCTGTTACTCAGAAGGGCTGTCACCTAGAGGGCTGTTTCAGGAAGGCTGTCATCCAGCCAGGCTTTCACCCAGGGCTGTCATCCAGGGGGTCTGTTACCGGGGGCTGTCACCCAGGAGGCATGTCACCCAAGAGGGCTGTCTGACAGAAGGGTTGTCACCCAGCAAGGGCTGTCACCCAGGACTGTTAACCAGGAGGGTTGTCACCCAAGGCTGTCACCTCTGGCTGTCACTCAGGAGGGCTGTCACCCAGGAGAAGCGGCTGCCCACCCACAGGTGCCTAGGGGCCTTTAGATAAGGTCTGCTTCAAGCTGCTGGGGTGTCCTGTGGCAGTCCTCACAGAGTGTTACAAAGGGGGTTTAACACAACAGAAGTTTATCCTGTCAGGCCAGAGTCCAGGATCGAGGGGTCGGCAGGTTCCCCCCTCCTGGCCCCTTCCCTGGCTTCTGCTGGTGGCCGGAAGCCCTCAGTGTTCCTGGGCTCTGGATGCAACCTCTGCCTCCGTCTTCACATGGCCTTCCTTCCTGTGTCTCTGTCCAAATGTCCCCTGCCTTATAATGATACCAGTCACTGGGTTAGAGCCCTCCCTAATCCAGCAAGATCTCATCTTTCCTTGATCACATCTATGAAGACCCCATTTCCAAATCAGGTCACGTTCACAGGTGCTGGGTGGACATGACTTTTGGGGAGGTCGCTACTGAACTCAGCACAGAGGTCAGTTCAAACACAGCCCCCTCCCCTCAAAAAAAAAAAAAAAAAGGAAAATTTCCCACCAGAATGCAGATTTACAGCTTATGCTGGAAAATCAGAGCTGCCTAATCAATCAGTGTAATCCATTGCATTACAAGAATGAAGGGAGAAACATGATCTTATTTTTTTTTTTTTTTTTTTGAGACAGGGTCTCCTTCTGTCACCCAGGCTGAAGTGCAGTGGCGCAATCTCAGCTTGCTGCCACCTCCACCTCCTGAGCTCAAGATCCTCCCACCTCAGCCTCCTGAGTAGCTGGAACTACAAGCATACACCACACCACCATGCCTGGCTAATTTTTGTATTTTTTTGTAGAGACAGGGTCTCCATGTTGCCCAGGCTGGTCTCTAACTCCTGGGCTCAAGTTATCTGCCTATCTTGACCTCCCAAAGTGCTGGGATTACAGGCGTGAGCTACCACACCTAACTGATAAAGCACATTTATTAGTTTATAGTTTATACTTTAAAACAAAGATGATAACAACCCTTTCCCAAAACAAACCTCCTTCTCACCTAGGGACTAGACGGCCTTTGTAAGACTAACAAATGAGCCACAAGATTAGAAATTATGGTTTAGGACTCATGCAGCTGGAAGCTACAAGATTCTGCCCCTCCCCAAATTGCTCCTGGGAATTACGTCCCTATTGTAAAACCTAAGATCGGTGCTTGAGAGATTTGCTCTTGATGGATCAACTGGCACCACCCAGATTGATAAACTGCCTCATCTGATTTTGTGGCTCTTACCCAGGAACTGACTCAGCTCAAGAAGACAGCTTCGACTCCCTGTGATTTCATGTCTGACCCAAGCAATCAGCACTCCCGACTCACTGGCCTTCCCCACCACCTACCAAATTATCCTTCCAAACTCTGATCCCCGAATGCTGATGGATCATGCCAATGGAGACTGATTGGAGTATAACTCTGGTCTCTCCTACGGCCAGCTTTGCAGGAATTACTCTTTCTCTGTTGCAATTCCCCTGTCTCAATAAATCGGCTCTGTCTAGGCCGCGGACAAGGTGAACCTGTTTGGCAGTTACAGGGGCACCCCTGCTTTCCTGGGGTGTCCACCACAGAGTGCAGAACACAGGTGTGTGGGCCTTTCTGGCAGCTGCCTGTGGTTTGGCCAAGCCCCGCCTCCCCCATGTCTCCCTGGGCTTCCATCCTGTCTCCACTTGCATTTAGGGGTGGCTGCTGCTCTGGGAACATTAGAATCTGGAAGAGATGAAGCCACATTAGTTTTCTTCAGGCATCTTTCTAAATGTTTGTATCCAAGTGAATCCCCCTTACTCACTGTGGCATTGCCTTTCTAAGCAATTACCTCTGTGCCTGCTATAGAACTTCTCACCCAAGAGGGACAGCAGCCCTGGGCACTGCCGTGGGCATTAGGTCCTGTGTTTGATGTGCTCTTGTGATTTTACTTTGTTAGAACCAAATATTTACATGATGGGTTTGGGAATCTCTCTTCTTTTAGCTCCCGATCCAATATGAAATTCAGGAAACCAGTTTGTGACAAACTGCATCTGGCCACTAAGGGAGCCCCTGGGTGACCCCAACACATTCACACCAGTGTATGAAAAATTGCCTGCATTTCAGAGAAGATAAATGGACTTTCCCTCTTCAGATGCTTGAAGGGAGTGCTTTGAGCCGAGTGGTACGTGACCTCCCTCCAGCCCCGGGGCCCTCGGTGGACCTGGGCTGCCTGGCAGGAACTGGAACCTCCCTGGATGTTCCCTCCTGCACCAGCACCACTGCAACATAGAGACCCAGCTGTGATTTATTTTGGCTTGGTGTGTATGCTTTTCATTGTGTAAAACTGCTGTTCTTGTGACAATTCAGGAGACTGTTTTGTTTATTGTAACTTTGAAAACAAAAATTGTAACAAAAACATTCCCATGACTGTGCTGTGGTTGGAGACTTTATTACCAACATATTTACACCTTCCTTTCCTCTCTCATTTTCAGGAGCTGTTTCAGGACTCCTCCTCCTCCCCTAATAACTTGAGTCTTTCCCATGTCATAATAAAGCTACATTTTCTTCTGAAAACTGGCAGATTCTCCCTTCCTAACACAGACAGCCGAGGAAAGGGTGGCAGGAGGGAGAAGAGCAACCAGGGCACACTGGCCTGCATGGGGGCGTCCCTGGTCAGAGTCAGTGGCCAGAGCTGCAGCCTGCCCTCATGCCCAAAGTCTTGTCTGGGTGTCAGGAAGGTCACGCACTCACATTTCACCCCTTTCCGTGACTGGCTCGCTGTTCGTTGATGCTTGTTCCTTCTTTTTGGAGCAGGAAGGTGTCATCTAGGACTCTGTCCTTGGGTGTGCACAAAAGTCACCTGAGGCCCTTGACCTACAGGAATCCTTGCCAGCCTTGGATTGCAAGACCCAGGCTATGGTACAGCAATGTGCATTTTGTAGCAAGCTCCTTGCTTGATTGGAGAGTCACAAATGGAAAGAAATACTATAATCAGTGGAGAGAAGATGTACACAGCTATTCAAGAGCACGGTTCTCTGACAGATCACAAGGTGGGGGTAGATCGCTATGACATCGTCTCCCAGCCACCCCCACATACTTTCCCTGCCCTCAGCAGGTCAGGAGTCTCCTGGTTGGCCTCATCTTCAATTCTGAAGCCTCTGAGATCTGAATAGTTCTGCCCCCTCCTTTTTCAGATGCCTCTGTGGCAAACCTTTGTTATTTGACTTTCTTTGCATGAAAACACCAAGAACACCAGAGAACACCCTGGGTTTCAGACTTAGTCCTATCTTCTCATAGTAAATAGAGCCATTGTTGTGTTCCCCTGGGGGAAGCTTCACTCTGCCTGGGTCCTCAGACCTTCCAACCAGCAAAGCTCCATTTCTCCAGGACAGGAATAGGAAAACTTTGTGACTGAGACATTCCATGCAATACTGAACATCGCCCACTTTCACACCTTCACTCTCTCAGAACTACACCTTCTGGGTGTCGGAGAGTCAGCACCGTATACTGGTTTCCAGTAGAAAGCATAACATTTATCTTGTAAGACAAACCATCACTTCAGTGTAACTGAGCGATGCTTCCAGGTGGTGGCTGACGTAGTGAGAACAGTTAGTTCCCTGATCAGGGCCATGGCTCCATGTCCCTCACTGTGAATGGGGTACCCTGGTCGCAAGCAATGCCCTGTGGGCTGCTGTGATGGCAACAGGCAGGGCCGGCGAGTCTGTGTCCAGGTAGGAGCTCTCTGCAGTGAAAGCCAATCTCAACCCTCTCCACAGTGTGGGTAGCCTGCCCATAGGTGGCCAACCGGTCCTCCTGGGAAACAGTGCCAGCCCAGGGATCGACACCAAGTCTCTCAGCAGATGGGGCACTCGGCAGTGGTGTCGGCCTGGTCATCCTGGTCAGGGTACAAGCAGGATGCTGAGCCTCTTGTGTCTCATTCCTGTCTGATGGCCACTTTGTCCATGGGTCCATCCAGCAATCGTGGTGGCTGGGGAAAGGAGCTGACTCCATCCACCTGGCGTGCCGTTTTCCCCACCTCAGGATCAAGAGCATCCTCTGCAGCAGTTCTCTTTGGTGGGAACATGGGAATGTAGATGAAACTATCTTCACAGTGTGAGCTGCTGAGGCAATGACTGCAGGGCGCCTCTGCCCTCTGGGAAGCCCGGCTGGAAGGTGCTTGGCAGTGGTGCCTGCTGTGGCTGCGACAGGGGCTAGGTTGCAGGACAAGGCTTCCAGGAGGGGGGTGGTGCGGCAGGCAGGGCTGCGAAGTCTCTGGGTGCCATGTTGGCATAGCGGACTAGGGCACTCGGGGTGCTGGTGGGCCAGTCTCCGGGGTGCAGACTGCCTGCACTGCAGCAATGAGGCCGGGAAGAGGCAGCAGTGTTCACAGCTGTTGACCCCCTTGAGCCAGCCCCCCACATCCTCATCACTGCACGGGCTCAGCGTCTCTGGCCTGGCTTGCCCAGGTTCTCTGATGTTAATCCTTACAGCATCAGGGCTTGCAGTGCCCTGGTCCCCTGCGTGGTCACCTGGAGGCCTGCGGTGCCCCTCTCCTCCTAGGACTCGGGTTGAAGCCAGGTCCCTCTGGACCTGGGCCTTGGGCCCTGGGGGAGGGACTCTGACCCACAGGTGGAGTCAGGGGCCCCAGGGCATGCTGCTGGCTGGCTGGGGCTGCAGGAACCCCATGCTCAGCCTTCCCTCCTGAGGCCTTGATGGGACCAAGTCCCCCATTGAATGGGATTTCTCAAGGCCCACAAGCCAAAAATATAAAATACAAATAAAATAGCAGTAAAAACCAAGGTCCAGCAGCCATCTGGGGCTGTAAGGCAGCTGGGCGGGTACTGCCTGGGCTCCTTCCATTCCAAGTTCTTCTTCTACCGCGGGGAGTCACAGGCAGGTGCCACCTTGCTGCTGGGGTATCTCTTGACCGGCCTCTTCTCTGTTATAAGCCAGGGCAGGGCCTGGTGTCGGGGTCCCAGTGGGCTCGCTGGGTGGGGTCTGTCTTTTTGTTCCAGGGCTGTCCACAGAAGATGGAGAAGTGACAGAGTCCCAGGAGCCGTGTTCAAAATGGCAGCACAGGAAACACGGACCCCCGACATGCGGGTCTGTGTGGAGCTGTGGCATAGTGTTCCCGGACAAGTGTTAGTGTAATACAAAGCCTGACCTCACCGGGGGACAGGCTGCCCTCATCTTGAGCTTCTGGGCCCCTCAAAGAGTGGCTTGCTGCCCTGGGTTCTGGGGAAGCCCCTTGTGCTGCTGGGCCTCAGCCTTGGCCTTGGGGACAGTCCTATCCAGCCAGGCTGGGGGTGACAGGGCTTTTGTTCCAGGGGGACTGATGGCATGAGCTCCTGGAGCTGAGCTGGTGGGGTGGGGAGGGCCAGTCTGTCCCCCTGACAGAGGGGCCCAATGCCAGGGGACACACTCAAGGACCCTCGCTCCATCTTGGCGGAAAAAAAGAAACATCTTCACTGAGCGTGTTGGGTCCCTTCAGGGCGGGCCCCACAGACCGGGGCCTCTGGAGTCCTCGGGGTCCCTGTGTGGCCCCCTGGCCTGACACTGAGGACACCCCTGCAGGCTGCTGATCCCAGGGCGAGGGCTGTGTGCAGCCTGGGGTGGGGGAGCTTTCAGAGAACCTCAGGTCACTCCCAGAATGGCCCCCTGGGTTCAGGCTGACTCAGGGCTTCCTGCCTCACACCCTCACCTCAGGGCTGTTCGGCAACCCTGACTCAGAACTCAGGTGGAAGAAACCTTCACTGTCACCCAGCACCTCGCGTGGGGGACTGTCTCCACAGCAGGTGAGAAGTGAATGGGCACAGCTTCCCCTCTGCCCTCCAATCCGTCCACCCCATGCCAGGGCTGGACCGATCCCACGCCCAGCTGAACTCTTGGTTATGGCTCTGGGTCAGAACTTCCCCCATCCCCTCTGCCCAAATCCTCTCTGGGTCAGGGACACTGATTCTCTTGTCCCCCTGGCTTGTTGTCTTGATACCCTTGGAGGGGCACTCAGGAGTGAGGGGCCCTTGCTGTTCTCTGAGGTTGCTTGGAGGTGGGGGTGGGGGCTTCCACAGCTCGGTCTGACTGCCCCAATGCCCTTCAGGACCCTTTGAGGGGGTGAGGGAGACAATGTGGAAAGTCGGGGAGGGGTGTTGTGGGGTCCTGCCCATGACCCCTGCCTGTCCACACAGCATGTCCAGCACACACACACATGCTCTCAGAGCCTGCCCTGAGGACCGGCAGACCCATTTGAGTTTCTTAGAGTAGAGGAGGAAGAGGAGGAAGAAGAGGTGCAGGAGGAAGGCCAGGTAGGAGGGCTGATGGGGCCAGGGCACTCCCCACCACTGACTGTCCCAGAGGGTGACTCGGGACGGGACCTGGTGCTGGAGCTCACCTGGGGGTGGCAGGTCCCAGTGTTTCCTTGTGAGTTCCTTCATGGAAGTTTGAAGGTTCCTGAGGACCGCGTTGTCCTCCAGGGCCCAGCTCTGAGACAGTTGCTCCCGAAACTCCCAGATGGTGCTCCAGGAAAGCTTCATGAGGTACTCTAGGGACAGCGCGGGCATCAGGTCAGGAGGATTCCTTGGGGGAGATCTGTGCCTGCACCCCATTTCCACCAGGCCCACCTCCCACTGGGTGGTGCCTGTTCCTTCTTGGCCACCCGGGGATCCAGCTGTGCACAGGAGGCGACAGCTGGGGAAGGCCAGGCAGGGAAGTGCTCACCACACTCCTGACTTTCATCTGGGTCATGTGGGGGTGGACTCAGTGTCATCATGCCTTGCCCAGCCCACCAGGCCAGACCCCCCTATCAGGATAGAGGAAAGAGTCATGGGGACAGTGTGAGGACACTTCCCTCAGGCCAGCTGGGATCTGTTCTGCGTGTTCCCTCCCCCAGGCACCCTTGGGCACACAGGACGTATTCCTGTGTATTTTGGATGATTCATGCTTCACGACCGTCAGTACCTGCTCGCGCTCCAAGATAAACACATCCCACAGTTGCGGGGTGAGCCCAAAGGATTTCTGTGGGGACAGCAGGTGTGGGAGGACCTGGCCTTTCCAGGCTGGGGCTGATGGCCTGAACAGGGCCCACCCTGGAGTGCTGGGGACCCCCTCTCCATGGGATGAGATCCCCCATAACACTGAGTCAGACAAGGTTCTGTAGCTCCTCATGGGGGGCTCATCTCAGCAGTGCTGCGGCTTCCGGAAGGAGGGGTTTCCTGAGGACTTGGGGCTTCCCTGGGCCCTCCCAAGTCGGGTCCTGCCCCAGTCTTCCCACGAGGCTGGGCCGAGCCCTGGCCTCTGCTATGGGATGCCCCTCTTGGGCAGGGCCTGGCTTGTGAGCCCTGCAGGGACCTGCCTGTGCCTCCTGCGAGCTGGGGGTGAACCAGGTCCTCCTGGAGGAGCTGGACCCCTGGGCTGAGGGAGCCGGGCACTGCATCCCTGGGCTGGGGTCTCCCTGTGCCTCCTTATCCCACCCATGAAACACCGGAGGAGCCTCATCAACATGGAACCCTCAGTGCACAGCCCTTCCTTGCCCTGAAGGGAGGAGCAGAGGTGCTCAGGGCCCCCTGGGCTACCCTGAAGTCCTCCCACTTCCAGTCCCCTCTACAGACCCTCCTCCGAGGAGCAGAACCCAGGGCAGTGGCCAGGGGTCCCCCAACCCCTGCCCCATACCCAGATGCCCGATGGACACGCTTCCCTCAGCCCTGCTCAGCCAGAGCTTGGCTCTGGTCCCAGCACCTCTGCTTCTCCCAGGGCAAGAAAAGGAAACCCAACTCCAAACCCATGGAGAATCCCCATCCCAGGTCAGGCTGTGGCTGGGACTTGGCCTCTTGTTAGCTCCATGAGGGACTCGAGCCGCCCCTGGCTCGTGGGACCCAGGGCCTCTGGGGAGGAGCTGGGGGTGTTGTCCACTCACCAGGTGTCTCATGATCTTTGGGAAGGACTTGGGCAACACCTGCTCCTGGTGTGACAGGAGCCTCCAGAGCCAGGCAGTATTCGGACTGTAGAATACTGAGAAGCCCCTGACCCATCACCTCATCAGAGTCCACTCCCAAGAGCTGGGTAGTGGCAGAGGACCCTGGGCCCTGAGGCCTCCCTCCCTCCTATCTGGTGACCCCATCATGCGGCCTCAGCCCTGGGGAGGAGGGCCCTAGCTGGAGGTGCTGCCCAGCAGCATCACGGGTCGAGGTGCCAGGAGGGCAGGCCTGCCTTTGATGTTTTGAGGCAGGGCAGAGGCAGGCAGGTGCCAGTGGGGAGAACGGGGTGGGTGCTGGGGGCTGTGTGGCCATCTCCTGGATGTGATGTCAGGCTGGGGGACATGGGATGCATGGGGAACATTGCCCTCTGGGCTTCATTGGCCCATTCGTGGGCAGGGAGAGTGGCTGGGAGCGCAGCCAGCTGGGAGGCAGGAGGACACTCAGGGAGGTGAGTGGTGCCTGCACAAAGTTGGGGCTGGCTTCGGGGGACAAAGGCCAGCCAGGGGGAGATATCAATGACCTCTGCTGTTGGGGGTGAAAGGCATCTGACTTGAGGTAAGAGGGTCCCTGTCCAGACCCAGGCTGCTGTGGGACCCTCAGCAGGGACATCCTGGAGACTCCAAATAAGCTGGCATGCAAGGAAGGCGCCTTGCCTGGAAGTCAGGATCATCAGCCAGGGTGGCCGTCCCCTGGCATGGCTGTGTAAGGCCTCGGGGGCAGCTGTCCACCTACCCTGCAGGGAGTGCCCCTCACCGACCAGCAGCTGGGCCAGCACCCAGAAAGCATTTTCCTCCAGCAGATACAGGAGGAGGATGGCGGTGACATGGCTCAGGTCCCTGTGTAGCCCACCTCCTGCAAGAGCCAGAGTCACTGTGGAACGATGTCACCTGGGAGGACTGAGGCCACCTGGGAGGACTCATGTCACCAGAGATGGCAGAGGTCCTCAGGGACACCTGCCTCAAACCCCCAGGGATTTGGGGTGGGCATGAGGACTGAGCAGGTCACGTATGACTCAGCTGACAAGGATCCTGGGGGGACTCCTGCAGCGAGTGTCTCAGCTCACATGGCCCTAAAGGGCACAGGCAGGGATTGTTCATGCTCCCTCCCTTGGGCCAGGCTGAGGAGGCCACTATGCCAGGCCTGGAGCAGCACTTGTGAACTGCACCCACCATAAGGGCAGGCAGCGGGGCGCTGACCACCACACAAAGGGTCCTGCAACAGCTCAGGGGCTGCCTGCCAGGCACAGGAGGGCGGCTGGGTCCAGACCCCATGTGGGAAGCACATGGAGTCAGCTCAGCAGCTCTCCCTGCCTGGAATGGTCTGAAAAGTGGGAGTGGCGCAGGAGCAGCCACCTGGGTGACACCCTGCCTGTCTGTTGCACTCCTGTGGGGTTCAGGGAAAGGGAAAATTGGATCTCTGCCTGGTTTCTGGTGAAGAAGAGGTTTCCTCAGGATGCAAACTCATTTCATGACAAAAGCCTGGCCCATCAGGCACCTCAGCAACTTGTCAAACCTGTCTCCTGTGAGGACCATCTGCATGCGACCCTGCCAAGCTCCTGGGCTTCAGGGCAACACCAGGAGGGGAAGGTCATTTCTTCATCTGAGACGTGGGGATCGGATCAAGATGACACCAAGAGTCTGGACCTCAACCCTTTTCCGTCTCAGTTTGACCCCCTCAGCCAACCCTTGCTTGGGTGTCCACGCCAGCAGTGAGCTTGAGTCCTCCCTACTACGTGCTGGTGGGTCACGAACACTGAATTTTCCAGAAGTGCTGACACCCCCGAGAGACACCCATGCCTGTGAATATGGGCACAGGGCCCAGGAATATTGCTGCCCAGAATATTCACAGGGTTATATGCAGAATAGGCCACGAGGATGTCACATAATTCCTGTGCCTAGAAAAGAGGGAAAAGAGGGGGGTTTTTTTTGTTTTGTTTTGTGCAGATGCTGTCAGTTTCATTTTGTCTACAAACCCAGACAACAAACACAATTCTGGGTTCAGATGTTCTCCCAAATAAGCAGTGAGCTCTTCAGGACACCTGAGTTTTTAGGAGTTTTTTCAGTAAAATCCACATTCCTTGCAATGCAAATATCACAGGTGTACAGTTGGATCAGTAATCATTTTCACTCTGGTTGATTTTTTTCTTCCCCTTTTGCTCGGGTTGCAGACACGGAAGTCCAGTCTTTGGGACGTGCAGTTCCATGGTTCTGAACCAATGTGCAGAGCCTCCCGTCCACCGCTGCAGCCCCTCCCAGAGAAGCTCCTTCATCCTCCAAGTCCCCAGCGTGTCCCCTTTGCAGCCAATGTCTCCCGGCTCCGTCAGCCGCTGGCCATCCTGACCCGTTCTCTGTCTCTATGCTTTGCCCTTTCCCAGAATGGCCGATGAATTGGAATCCTGCGGTGGTAGCCTGTGGGGTCTGGCTTAATTCCCTCAGCAATATGTATCTAAGTTCCACCCATGTTCCTGCAGGCATCGGGGATTCGTTCCTTTTCCTCACTGAGTCGTCTTTGTCTGGAGTGGAACCTCCTTCCTCTTAAGTACCCCTGTTGAAGATCATCTCGGTAGCCTCCGGGTGTGAGTGACAATCAATCAAGCAGTGAACGCAGCATGCAGCTTGTGTTTGGACGTCAGTTTTCAAATCAGTGTGGTCAATATCTGTGACACTTTGGGGACGTGTGGTACGAGGCCACCGAACTTTGTGAGCCACAGCCCATCTGACCTCCAAAGTGGCTGTGCCCTGTCGTGTTCCCATCAGTCATGGGTGAGAGTTTCCGGGGCCCCACATCCTCCCTAGTATTCTGGGCTGTCAGTGTTGCCTGGGAAGGCTCCCAAGTCCCACCACCCTGCCACCTTCCTGGGTAGTTGTGGGTCATGGAGAGCACTTTTCACCATTTTGCATAACTTTTTTTTGCTGCCTTCCATTTCCTTGGAAGCCACCTGGGTTCTGGCCCCACATGTCCCAGCCCGGCCCAGGGCTTAGAGCCCGGGAGGTGCTCAGTCCATAATGCTGGCTGTTGCCTGGGCCAGGAGAGCCCTTGGCAGCTCTGTCACTCCTCCTGGGTGGCCATGGCCTCTGCCCTGGGGAAGCCCTTATCCCTCTGGATCACCCCATATTTCCCGGGACCCCTGCAGCCCCCATAGGCCTTACTTGACTCTGAATCCTTCTCTAAACATCGTGTGGTTCTGCGGGGTGCGGCTGGCATCTACCTTGATGTGGTGGGTGATCCTGGAGGACCTCTTGCCTTTCTCCTTCATGACCTGTAGGGTAGGGCTGAGAGGAGGAAGCAGCCTCAAAACAGACAAAAGACTTCCTGCCCCAAACGGCAGTCATCCCACAGTCAGCACTTCTGGAAGAAAGGGAGGAAGGTTTCCTTCTGCAGAAAGCTCCTTTTTTGCCTTGTTTCTGAAGCCAGGGAGGTCACAGGTACCTGTGGTGCCTGTGTCACCATCTGTGCCCAGCATGTGCGTCTGACCACAGCCCCCACCCCCAACCCGGGCTCAACGTTCCCTCCAGCTGGAGTCCTGGGCTCCTGACACAGCCTGGCCTATTTGTCCTGCCCTGGCCGAGTGTGGGAGGGCCTTACCTTGTATTTCCCGGGTTCTGAGACTTGACTTTGTCAATGTCTAGCAGAAGTGACCACGCCCAGCCTCACACCACCAGGGGAATGCCTTTGTACACGCTTTGAGACAGCTACAGACAGAAGAACCCTCTAGTGAGACAGGACGTGTGGTGACTGGGGGAGGAAAGCCGGCAAACAGTCCTGCTGTCCTATGGTGAGGATTGGGTGCCACCCACCCGCTGAGAGGCAGATGGTGCCATGTCATGGCCATGGGCGCCTGTCTCCTGACTGCAGAGAGCAGTCACAGAGGCCACTCCCTCCCCATGTTACCTTCTTTTTCTTTTGAGATGAAGTCTCACTCTTGTCGCCCAGGCTGGAGTACAGTGGCGTGATCTTGGCTCACTGTAACCTCCACTTCCTGGGTTCAAGCAATTCTCGTGCTTCAGCCTCCTGAGTAACTGGGATTACAGGCGCCCGCCACCATGCCCAGCTAATTTTTGCATTTTTAGTACAGACAGGGTTTCGCATGTTGGCCAGGACGGTCTCAAACTCCTGACCTCAGGTGATCCGCCCACCTCGGCCTCCTGAAGTGCTGAGATTACAGGTCTGAGCCACCAGTCCCAGCTGTTATGTTACCTTCCTGCTGTTCTTATATTTTGTCCAGTCTCTGAGTATTTTCAGCCACTTGGCAGTGCGTTTTATTTCCTGACATCTTTGCTGTCAAATGAACCAGGATGGAGTTAGTGGAGCTGCCAGGCCTCCAGCAGCGGCCCATGGATGCTGCGTCCTGGGCTTCCGGGCCCTGAAGGAGCCAGGACAGAGCAGACCCTGGGAGCTGAGACTCTCTGAACTAACTGGAGCTGGTGATCTGGACTGGTGATCCCAGGACATGCAATCCTCAGGCCACAAACACCCCGAGTTTTGGTCGGGCCCCGGCCTTTAGCTGGGGACTTGGTACAAACAGGCAATGGCCTCTGAGCCAAGATTGTGGTTCTTGGTTTGGGTTTTGGTCAAACGCTCATGGGAACAGAGTCCATCAGGAAAGGCTGCCTGTCCCAGGGACAGCCGTGGCCTACTCACCACTGCCTGGGCCCACGGGCCACCCCCTCTGTCTCACCGACCACTCCTGATTCCTGGTCCCTGGACCAGCCTCCCACGCAGCAGGCACTGGCTCTTACGTGCACCTTCAGGGCATTGACATGGGCAACTCTGTCTCACTGTAAGGCAACCCAGGCAGAGCTGAGGACCTGCCCGGGCCAGGAGCCATCCTCTTCCATGAAAGGGCCCCGGCCCTCCCCATCCACCCTAAGTCTCATCCCGGGACAAGGCACAGGGAAGGAAGGCAAGGGCCTCCCTGTAGAGCTGACGCCCATGAGACACAAGGACCCTGGAGAAGAGGGAGCTCGAGGCTGGCCTGGCAGGGGCCACTTGGGGCCCGTGGGGTACCTCGGCCCACACAGTGGGACTGCTCCTCCTGGGCTGGACGCAACACCCTCTGCGGGAGCTGAGAAAGTCCAGTTCTGAGACGGGATGGGTGCCGCCTAGGGCGGGTGGCCGAGCCCTGACTGACAGCAGTGCCTCGGGAGTGACCACATCACCCACCAGAGACCAAGGAGCCTGGCGTGAGTGTTGCCCGGTGCCCTGAGGATGCACCTGGAACCCATCCCACCCGACACTCCCCACAGGCCTTGCAGGGTCTGACCTCCCAGCGTGCACCTGCCTCTGCCTGCGCCCTGGCCGCTGACCCTGCCTGTTCCCCATCGTCGCCCATCCTGCCTGACCCAGAGACTGTGACCCTATCTCCAGTCACCCTGGCCCTTCCCGGACTCTCTTCCTGTCAGAGCCTAGGCATGAGACCCCCAGGTCTCTAACTGGGCTGCTCAGCGCTGCTGGGGAGAAGCCTGGGGTGACAAGGGTGACCAAGGGCCCTGCAGGCAGTGGAGCTGGCCCCACCACCCCACCTACAGCCTCAGTGAGCTCTCAGGGTCATTGACTTTCAGCCCTCAGCCTCCTCCCAGCCACTGCAAAAACCAGGACGTGGGATGCCTGCCTGTCCTCCCCCTACTGTCCTACCTACCCCAACTCAGCCCCCCATCCACCCTGCACAGTGCTGACTGAGCCAGCGGGAACCAGAGTCTCTGGAGGGCCACGCAGAGCCTTGGGGACTGACCGAGTCCCCTCACTGAGGGGTCCCAGGTGAGCAACTGTTCCCTGACCACCCCACCTGTTTTCCTCCCCAGACTATCAGCTCCACCCTAGGCCATCTTGGTTCAGGTGCCTTCCAGAAGTGGCAGGTCTCACAGGCTCACCCCGCCCCCCTGCCCCAGGCTCCTCCCTCTCTCCATCCTGTGAGTCCTGAGGGGTCGGCTCCAGGCTGGGCTCCCCTTACCAGGCCCAGGTCCTATCCCAGCACCACTCCCGGGGCCTTCAGCTGCACGCTGTGTTGTCCCCCTAGCCTCACTATGAGATGCCCAGGCCAGGTCCTACCCTTCTTCTCCCCCAGCCTCCCAGGGTCACAGCCCTTGCTGTCCCCATGCCCCTCCCTATAGGATGCCTCAGCTGGGCCCCCTGAGCCCTTGGAGACCTGCTACACAACTGCCCACAGACCTGGCCAGGTGTCCCCTTGCCCTGTGGCCACCACCCTCAGATCTCACCAGGGCAGGCCCCAAGGGGACAGGGCCAGACCCTGAGGCTGCCCCCTCCTCTCCTGCTCACGTGGAGACCTCAGTGCTGAGAGCCCGGGGGCTGACCCAGCCCCTCTCTGACCCACTCACTCTCCCCAGCTCCCTAGATGGGCCTTGAGGCTCTGCCCTAACCCTGACCATGGGCTGGACCTGTAGGAGAGGCAGGGAGGAGTTCTGACCCTAGAGAGGAGATTGGCCTGAGCCAGGGAAACCTGCCCTAACTCAGAGAGACCTTTCTAAAAACAAAACCCATCCCTGAGGTGAGACTGGTGGGTGGGGGGACAGAGGACTCACCACATAACCCAGAGGCGACCGGTGAATTTCCAGATGTCAACATGCTCATGCTCCATGTCCACTGCTGCCCCAGCTCAGCGTCCCTGTGACCCAGCAAGGGCCAGGGAGACAAGGGCAAGGTGAGGGGCTTGGGGTCCTGAGGGCATGGACAGCCTATCTCCACCCTCTGATCCTGGGGAGCCCAGGACCCTCTGACCAGGCTCTGACCAGTAGAGGAACTGAGGCCCCACCTTCCTCAAGGGAGCGGCCTGACCTGTACCTGCTCATACTTAGTAATGATGATGTTGCCTTGCCCCTGGGTGCGCAGGATATCCGGGTCCTCATCCATCTCCATCCTGCAAGACGAAGTCATCCAAAGGCTGTGCTGCCCCCGAGAGCTCCAGAGCACACCTGAACGGCTCCCACCAGACCCCCAAATGCTGGCCAGACAGGTAAGCCCCATTCCACCGTTGCTCCCTGAGACAAGAGGCTAAGCCCAGTGGTTCCACCCCTGCCCTAGTCTCTAGAGTCCCTGCCCTGGACCAGGAGTGGGCTCCTTCCTGAGGATTTGAACATAGGGAGACCTGGACAGAGAGGCCCATTGTTCCCAAATGCTCTGAGACAGGCACACACCTGCCCTGGCAGGACAAACAGCGTCCACCTGCTGAGGGTAAAGGGTCCATGATGGGCTGTTCCGGGAACCTGGAGGCAGTTGGGGTCAGGAACCAGACGTCTCTTTAGGATCAGCCTCCTGGGATCCTTCTGGGACCATGAAGATGCCCAGTTTTCTGTAGGAAGAAAGACATCTGGTGACTGCTCCGTTCTACTCCAGTTCTCACTCACTCTGGCCAGTGAAGCCGCTTCAGGAACAACGCCAGCTAAGCAGGAGGGTGTTTAGTTTGGGGAAAAAATGACCTATTGAGTCCAAAGCAGCCTCTTTGCTTGTGGAAACCCCGTCTGAGGTGGAGGATGGCGGACTCCGCAATTCCCAGTTGTCAGTACAGGAGGGGGCTTCGTTTTCCTGGATCACCAAGAAAAAAACAACAGAACTCTGGGGCCTTGGTCCTGGAGAACACCCAGGGGGACCATCCTCCTTGAGAATACCTGGGACAAAGGGAGGACAAGGTCTCCAGAGGATCAGACAGAGAAGGTTCCAGTCCCCAAGCCCCTTTGACCAGGAGAGACAATCGTCACCCTCCAGGCAGCCCTCTAGAGCTCCTTCATTTTCCACAACTGCCTGAGGGCAGAGGGCTCCCCACCCCACTCCCAGATGAAGGACCCCATGTGTCCAGTGGGGCTCATGGGGACCATCAGTGACCGCACCTGAAGTCTGAGTTGGTGAGACCTCCTCCTGTGGGGACTCAGCTTCGGACACAGACTTAGACTGAGAATCACCCCCTCCACCCCATGAAGGTCCAGAACCCCAGGGAAATCTAAGGGAGGGAGGCTGGGATCTAAGGGAGGGAGGCTGCAGAGGTCAGGGCTTGAGTCCAGCATGGCACAGGGCACGGCTGAGAGCACAGCCCAGGGTCACATCTGGGTCTCTGGGTCAGTCATTACCTCTCTGACTCTAGACATCTCACCTGTGGAATGGCTACATTTGGGAACAGCATCCACCCACGGAGTTGCTGTGAGGATGAAGGAAAAGGCCGTCCACAAGGTCAGTGCAGAACCTGCACCTGGCGAGCGCTCAGGGATGCCATGACTCATCCCCACTATGAATAGAGGCAAAGAGGCTCCAAGGACAAACCTTCTGTCTGAGGTCATCCAGCGGCCAGCTGGCCAGGCCTCTGCTAGCCAGGCCCTGCTGAGCAGGCCCCTTGACTATTTCCCCACTGATCATACTTTCACTAAGCCCCAGTGTCCAAGTCTCTGCTGACCAGGCCCCCACTAACCCGACCCATGACGACCAAATCCCCCACTGACCATGTTCTCGATGACCAGGCCCCCACTGACCACGCCTCCCTGGCCAGGACTCTGCTGACCAGGTCCCCACTGCCCAGGTCCCAGAGCAGCAGTGCTCAAAGTCCCCTACTCAACTGCCCAAGGGCAGAGGGCTCTTCACCCCACTCCCAGACAAGGGACCCCATGTGTCCAGTGGTTCCCACAATGGCCATCAGTGACTGCATGTGAAGTCTGAGTTGGTGAGACCTCCTCCTGCGGGGTCCCAGCTTAGGGCACAGACTTGGACAGAAGACCACCCCTTCCACCCCACCCATAGGAGCTCTGTTCCAGTGGCTCTTCCAGGGCCAGACTCTGCCCCTTCAGGGGCTGGAACCCCGGGCAGATTTGGAATCCAGGGCAGGGAGGCCACAGAGGTCAGGGCTTTAGTCAAGCACAGCACAGGGCAGGGCTAAGAGCACCGCCCAAGGTCACATCTGGGTCCCTGAGCCAGTCACTGCCTCTCTGACCCTAGATCTCACCTGTGGAATGAGTACATTAGGGGACAGCACCTACCCCCCAGAGTTACTGTGACGATGAACGAGACAAACATCTATACCATCAGTGCAGAACGGGCACCTGGTGAGTGCTCAGGGACCTGAGGCTGGCACCGCCCACCAGGTAGCGACTGTCCCAGGTCAACAGGGTGGGAACACAGCAGGTCACACTCACCTGAGTCTGCTGATCCAGCTGTGCCTCTCACTCAGGAAAGCCTCCTCTGCGAAGAACCGGACACCGCTGTGTGTCTTGTCTCCAAGAGCTCCAGACACAGAAGGCAGCCGGGTAGGCGGCGGGGACTCAGCACCAGTGACATTGTGGGGTCATGGCACCCATCACAACGGGCCCCCGCCTGGGTCAGCAGGGCCCAGAGTCAGCGTCCTCCACCCCCAAAGCATCAACATGTGTGCATGCAGTGTATTTGTGAACGTGAGCATGCACACGTATGTGGGTGAACACGTGTGCATATGGTGTGTTGCTTCTATGGCTGGGCCAGGTGGCCCCATTCATGTACACACTCAGGTCCTTGTCACTGTCATCCCCGGCCCTGGGCCTGTGGCCAGCATCAGAGTGTCCACAGGTGCTCCCCAACCTAAGCCCTCCCTAGGTGGGGCAGTCCTGTGGGTGGGGGGCAGAGAATTGAGGGTGGAGGGCAGAGGGCAGGCCCTCTCTTTAGCAGGGGACTCAGCTAGGGTGTAAAGTGCTAGGTCTGTGTGACAGGGCCGGATTCCACACATCTGCTCACCTCCTTCTCCCAGCAGCCCTCTGGGGTGACATGACTCATCTCCACTACAGATGGCAGCAAGCTAGTTCCAAGGACAAACCCCTGCAAGAGGTCACCCAGAGGCCAGCTGGCCAGGACCCCACTAACTAGGCCCCCACTGACCAAGCCCCCCGCAACAAGGCCCCTGCTGACCAATGCCCCCCCCACAAGGCCTTCACTGACCAGATCTTGACTGATCAGGCTCTTGATGACCAAGCCCCCAGTAATCAGATCTCCACTGACCAGGTCCCCACTGACCAAGAAGACCCATTGACCAAGCACCCAATGACCAGGTCCTCACTGACAATCCCTCAATGACCAGGCCCCCTGACCAAGTCTCTGATGGCCATGTCCTTTCTGATCATATTTTTTTATGACCAAGTCCTAATGTCCAAGTCTCTGCTGACCAGGCCTCTCCTGCCCAGGTCTCTGAGCCATGGTGCTCAAAGTCTTCTTTCAATGACCCCCCTCAGTCCACAGAGCCACCCCTCCCCACATTGGCACCCATAGGCCAGCCACTGGGGGTCTTCTCAGGTCAGGGGCCCTCCTCTGGGACACAGGGAGGGACACTGGGCCCCAGGCTTTGGGTGCCCAGCTTCATGCTCACCCCACAAGACCCTCTGGGCCCATCTCAAAGGGAGTGGGGAGGTAGCCTGGCACCACCTGGATGCACTGTCTGGGCCTATCCCTGAGCCACACAGCCAGAGGAATTGGGGGGACGTTTGTCAGACCAGGCATCCCGCTCTGTTGGGTCTCCCAGGGCCCTTCCCTCGGAGCCCGGATATAGAGACACAGCACAAAGGCTGCAGGGTGACCGGCCCAGAACCCTTGAGACTAGGCTGCGGACCACACAAAAACTGTCCCCAGACAACCAGAAGACCCTTTGCTAGTTTCTTGATACCTCATTTCTCACCAGCTACCTTTCCCCACCAGGAATCCCGCTCACGCAGAGTCAATGAGGAGAGGAAGATGGTCACAGAATCCGTGGAAAGAAAGAAAACAAAAGATGGGTGGGGAGAAGAGTTGGGAGTGTAGCGTTATAAGGGTCCTACACTATGCGTGTTATTTGAGGGTTGACTGTGATTAATTAAAGGTGTATCTTGTAGACAACCATTACACACACAGTATTTTATATATATATATATATACACACACACAGAGAGAGACAGAGAGTCTTGCTCCATTACCCAGGCTGAAGTGCAGTGGCCCAAACGCAGCTCACTACAGCCTTGACTTCCTAGGCTCAAGCGATCCTCCCACCTCAGCCTTCTGAGTAGCTGGGACTACATGTGTGGGCCCCCATGCCTGACTGCTTTTGAAATGGTTTCTTGTAGAGACGGAATCTTGCTGTGTTATCCAGGCTGGTCTGGACCTCCTGGCCCCAAGCAATCCTCCAGTCTCAGCTGGAAGTGTTGGGATTACAGGCATGAGCCATTGCACTTGGCTTACACATGTTTTTAAGAAGCATAAATACGAAGTTCAGTGTTGCCATGAAGTCAGGCAGAGGTTGGCAAGCTATGGCCCACAATCCAGATGCAGTCCCCCTCCTGTCGTGGTGAATAGAGTTTTATCGGAGCCACAGTTCCTCCCCTGTGTTCACTTCTTGTCTGTGACTGCTTTGGGGCTGCAGTGGCGGAGCTGAGTAATTGTTGAGTAGGTGCAACAAAGACCACAGGGTCCACGAAGCCCAAGATGCTTACTACCAGGTCCTTTGCAGAAAAATCTTGCTGAGCCCTGGGGAGGGAGCCAGGTGGCATTGGGGAGGCCATCGGGGAGGCTGGTATAGTAATCCAGGCGAAAAATGATGGGAGCTCAGATTAAAGCGATCATGACAAGTGGCTGGAATCATGATGTACTTTGGGGATAAGACCAACAATACATGGATAGAATGGACAGTATTTAGGTATTTAGAGTTTCAGATGTTCTTTCTACCAAAGGACCCGTTTCTAAAAAAAAAAAGTACAAAAGATCAATTTAAAAATATGACCAAAGAAACACCACCACAAGATTATTTGTGTGATTGGAGCTGGGGTTGAGCCTGGGTACCTTGTGCTTTCAGCACCCGTAACACCCCGGCTGTTCCAGAGGCACCCTACAGAGCCCCTTGGGTTCAGACGAGCAGAACTTGAAACCACAGATCGGAAGGAATAGAAATCTGCGCATCTTTCACACAAGCCGTAACATTCTAAGCCGCATCTTTGCAGCACACTGACATGGGGCTACTTCACGCACAGCCAGTAAGTGTCTGCACTAGTGCCGGGATTTGTGTCCACCCTGTTATAAGAAGGCAGCTGCCTGCGTGAGGCATGGCGGTGAGGAAACAATGCCACCCAGATCTCACCCATGGCCGTGAGGACTGGCTGTACCATGGGCCAGACGCATGTCTTGGGCAGACACTTTTTAGATGCCAACTTGCCTGTAGACAAAGATGACGCAGAGGTGGCCGCAGGGAGGGCCTGTGTGGTGGGTTGAATTTGTCCCCTGAAATTCCTGTGTTGATGTCCTTAGCCCCAGTGCCTGAGAATGTGATCTTATTTAGAGACATCATCTTATAGAAATAAGTTAAAATGAAAAATGAGGTCAGTAGGGGGTACCCAATCTAACCACTGGTGTCCTTACTATAAGAAAAGGAAACGTGGACAGAGACACACAGAGGGAAGACGAAGTGAGGAGACACAGGGAAGGCCACCTACATGACAGGAGAGAGACCTGGAACAGAGCCTTCCTGGACCACCCTGGAAAAGGACCTTCCCTGCCGACACTTTGATCTTGGACCTACAGCCTGCAGGACTGTAAGACAGTGAGATTCTGTTGCTGAAGCTGCCCAGTCTGTGGTACTTTAAGGGAGCCCTAGCAAACCAATGCAGCCTGTTAGCCCAGAGATGTTGAAAAGATGGAATGAGCTATGGAGGCCCAGGCTTCCTGTCTACACCTCCCAAAGTGCGCTAAGGGATCCTTTGGTGTGTGCAGGTTTGCAAGATAATTTTAGGAGGTGCAGGGTGCATAATTTCAATGTACATTATTATGGATTTATCTTACTGTGAAAATGCTTCTATAGTTTACTTAAGGTTTACATGCTACTCAAGATATAGCTTTAAATGCTAACAAAAAGTGGATGCAGATGAAAACATTCTCTTGCTGTGGTCCAGGGAATCTCGATGTTTTTTTCAGAGACTCGCAGCTTTCAGCTAGAGCTGCCCTCCCCTTCGTGTCCACTGCACACCCCCACAACACACACACGTACCTAAATACATGCACAGACACACACATGGACATACATATACACGCATGCACACTCATACATGCACACCCATATGCACGCACACACCTGCACATACACACACACACTGTGCTTCATGCCCTCACTAAGGAGGCATGGAAGGGAATGTGTGTCTGTTAGGAAATGAAGACAGCTCAAGACCCTGGTTCCCTGGGTGTTTGCACAGGCGCCCTCCCTGCAGACCGTTCTTTGGTCTCTTTCTCTCTCTTAATGAGAGAGAAGTAGAACCCGAGTGGTTACCTGGCTGCCTAGCGCTCAACCCAAAGTCACAAGCTTCCTCGGGAGCCTGGTGAGATGGGGGCATCACAGGTCCTCCCAAACCGAGGGGACAGGGTTCAGTGGAGCCTTGTGCCCAGGAAGGTGATAGACGGGAAGTCTTGGTTCATCAAAGACCCAACCACAATGCAGTGAGGAAGGGCAGCCGCCAAAGGTTTTATTCTCCAGGAGGAGGGGCTCTCAGGGTCTGTGAGCAGGAGGCACGAGGACTTTATTGCACATGTGGTTAGGTGATGGCTGCACTGGGAACTGGGAATCAGAGTGTCCCGACCTCCTGCTCTGTCTCTCTCTCCCTCTCTGCCTCCTCTGTCTCTCTCCCTCTCTCCCTCTCTGCCTCTCTCCCTCTCTGCCTCTCTGTCTCTTTCCCTCTCTGCCTCTCTCTCTTTCCCTCTCTGCCTCTCTTCCTCTCTCTCCCTCTCTGCCTCTCTTCCTCTCTCTCCCTCTCTGCCTCTCTTCCTCTCTCTCTCCCTCTGTCTCTCTCTCTCTCTCTCTGCCTCCTCTGTCTCTCTCTCCCCATATCTCTCTCCCCATCTCTCTCCCCTCTCCCCACCTCTCTTTCTCTCTCCCCTTCTCTCCATCTCTCTCCCTCCTCCTTTCCCTCCCTGACCCCCATTTATGCACCTGGGCCCCCTTCCTGGGCAGGCACACACACAATGCCAAGACCACTGTCTGGGATGTGGGGGCAAGGCTGCAGGACTGTGGTCCTGGTGTGGCACCCCCACCTTCCAGCACAAGTAGGGTCGGGGGTCCCAGGCATGACTGCACTCTCCTGGGTGGGCGCCCTGCACTCGGGGAAGCAGAAGCTGCAGGTCTCCACTGGCTCAGGGGATGTGCCCACAGGGCTGCCAGCTTCCATCGCGTGATCTGCAGAGGCAAGAGTGGAGTGTGTGGGCCAGGCCTGGCCCTGCACCAGGGTAGGGGTGACGGTGTGGGCAGCTGCACTCTTCTCTGACCCAGGAGCTAAGGGCAATCACCCAGGCCAGTGTCAGTGTCCCCCAGTTGCCAACCAGAACCTGTGCCTGGGCAGGGGTGGGCAGGCAAATCTTGACTCTCACTTCAGTCCAGCACCAAGCCTGCCACACCCCCCAAAGGGACACCTCCTCCCGGGCTTAGCCCTAAAGGCCCTGCATCCTGAGAATCCTGGGCCCAGGCGAATCTGAAGGCCGGCATCCCACACCCACCCTTCCTGGGTGCCACTCTCTTGGGTATCTGCCTGCCAGGATGTCTTAAATTGATTTTATCAAGCTACAGCGAATAACAGGGATGAGCCCTGGGCCTCTCCACTTAGAAGCAGGGGCAGTGACAGGACGGAGAGATGGCCCGAGGCTTGTCACCCAAGCATCGAGAAGGGCGAGGACCCCAGTTTCACGAACTCACCCTGGGAAGACTTGGCCGGATTTTGACAGGACCTTGAGCGGGGCTGGCAGGAGCAGGGATCCCCCCTCTTCTTGAGGAAGCAGGCCACTGTCACCAGGAAGCAGCAGAGGACGGCACACAGGCAGAGCCCCAGCGTGCTGTAGACCAGGGCCAGCTGATCCGCACTCAGTTTCAGCCCCGGGAGAGCTGCAAGACAGCGTGAGACCCCTCTCTGCAGTGCCTTCTCCTCTTCCCACTCTTAGATTTAGGAATCTCATAAAGTGACAGAGCTGCCAGGACTCTTAGGGGTCATCAGTGTCACTCTGACATTTACAGGGGGAGATGGGAACTTGGGGTGAGCTGGTGTCACTCCACCAGTCAGTGGCTGTACTTCCTGTCCAGTGCCCAGATCTCAAAGAGGCCTAACGGAGGAAAGCAAGACCCCAGGACCTGCAAACTTGGTGCCACATATCCAAGGCTTACCTGCTCCTACTTGCCTCTGGAATCAAATGCAAACAGTGCCCTGGAGGCATGAGCAGGTGAGACCCTGCCAGCCCTCAGAGCACAGACAGAATGCCGGGCTGCAAGTTGTTACTAAGCGGAAATGAACTGCATTGATTCAAGGAGGAAAACAAAACATTTGTGCATATTTCAAACATTTCAACATGAGATTCTGAAACCCAACTGTTCAGAAACCATGCAAGTGTTCAGAGACCATGCCTACAGCATGGTCACCTGACATCGTGTGGACCATCTGGGCTGGGCTGGGCCTCATTCTATCCAGGAGAGTGCCATGGGGGCAAGGCTGTGCCACTCTGGGCCTCCGCCTCAAGAAGACCTGACAGCCTCAGTGTTTGCTCCCTTGGGCCTGAGCCACCACTCAAGAAGTCCAGCTGGAGAGTCCCAGTGGAGAGGGGCAGGCCCTGAGATCAGCTGGAGGAGAAGCAAGACCTGAATATCCCAGCATCAGAGTCCAGCCTCCAATAGCTCCATCCCCAGCACCATCTGCATGACAGACCCCAAGCAAGAGCAGCAGAAGACCCGCCCAGCTGAGCCCCGCCTCCCCACAGAGCCACACAAGGTCACGACATGAAGATAAGAATCTGGGGACGAGTGTCCAGATCCAGTGACAAGTGTCCTTATACAAGAAGAGAAGGGAGGAGACACAGGCACGGGAAAGAAGCCATGTGGAAGAGGCAGAGATGGGAGTGATGAGGCCACAAGCCCAGGAGGCCTGGGGCAGCCGCCAGAAGCCAGAGAAGGCAGGGAAGAATCCTACCCTGGAGCTTTCAAAGGGAGCAGGGCTCTGCTGCTGCTTGGATCTCAGACTTCTGGGCTCCAGACCAGAAGACAGAGGATCAGTTTGTGTTGTTTTAAGAACCTAACGTGCACACTGTCATAGCAGCCCCAGGAAGTACAGCCTATCCTAGGACAGAACGCACCCAGCCAGGGTGACAACCCCTTCAGTCCTGGGCAGGGTTCTGAATGCTCAGCAAACCCCAAGTCACTGAGGCCCCACAAAAGCCCTGGGAGGTCAGAGTCATTCTGACCAATTTAGGTGGGGACAGCAAGGCACAAGTAGCCCAGATGCACGTAGGTTAATTCTGATGTCGCAATTTGTTCAATATTTAGATTTCAGCACTAGGGTTTTTTTCCTAACCTTATGTGCTTTGATGCATTCCAGAACCTTATTCCCAGAAGGGGTCACGGGCACCCCCAATGTCTGCAGGACACAGAGGCTGAGCAGTTCCATGGCTGACTACCTCCAGTTCTTTTTTTTTTTTTTTGAGATGGAGTCTTGCTCTCTCACCCAGGCTGGAGTGCGGTGGCGCCATCTCGGCTCACTGCAAGCTCCACCTCCCGAGTTCACGCCATTCTCCTGCCTCAGCCTCCCAAGTTGCTGGGACTACAGGCACCCGCCACCATGCCCAGCTCATTTTTTGTATTTTTAGTAGAGATGGGGTTTCACCATGTTAGCAGGATAGTCTTGATCTCCTGACCTCATGATCCACCCACCTTGGCCTCCCAAAGTGCTGGGATTACAGGCGTGAGCCACCGTGCCCGGCCTCTCCCTCCAGTTCTAATCTCATGCCAATGCACTATCCCTCTGTCCCTTCCCAGGTCCTTGTCATCTCTGGTTCCTATTATTGCCAGAAATAGCCTCTCACAGGGCCCCTGCTGCCATCACCACCATCCAGAGGCAACAGGGCGCTCTCCCCACAGCCGTGCTCTGACCCCTTCTCCCGTGGCTGCCCCTGTACCCAGCAAGACATTGTACTCCCAGTCTGGCACATGGGGCCCACTGTCATCTGGCGTCTGGTCCCTTCTGGTGCCATCTCCAACCACCCCTGAATGCTTGCTCTTCCCAACTCAGTCCTCTGCAGCCCCCACACTGGGGGACAGGGTCCTGCCCTTGGTGCTTTTCCTCCTCCTCTGCTGGACAGATGAACAGCCCCACCCACGGGGGCAGGCTCCCTGGGCCACCTGTTCCCCTCAGGGAGACGCAGACACTACATGCACCTGCACTGGAGCCTGGGGAGGGAGCTCCTTGCATCGGCCTGGAGTTGTCGCAACAGAACCCCATGTCAAACTCCTCTCCTGCTCAACATCTCAAGCCATTTTCAGTCCAGCTTGGAAGCCTGCCCTGCTCTCCCCACGAAGCCCCATGTGTGAGCAGCAGGGCCTTCTGTGCCCTCTTGGTGAGCATGTGGAGCGGTCAGTCTCCACCTTCAAAGCAGATCTGGGGTGGGGTCCCTCCTGCTTCTGTGGAGTGGCCACCACACTCCTGCAGTCTGGAAGCCTGACAGGAAGAGATTTAGCCCAGTCTCCAGCACAGAGCCCCTCACAGCCTCCCAACAGCCAAGTGCACTGCTCCTAGCAGCACCTGTATGTGCTGTTGCCTCTGCCTGGAACCCTGTCCCCACTATGTGGCTTCAACATAGTTGCTTTTTGAATGAGCAGTTCCAGCGCACAGAGCACGTGCTCCCCAAAAAACATATTCTCCCAAATCACCCTCATAGCAACTCTGTGAAGGTGAACAACTCCAGCCTCACAGAACTAAGGCTCAGAGAGGGTCGGTAGCTTGCTGCAGGTCACACAGCTTGTGAGGGACATAACTAGGGGTCTGGCTCCATATTCCACACCCCCACCCCAGCCTGCCCTAAAGACTCCTCCTCCGGGAAACCTTCCTTGTCCCCGTGTCACCTGCAGCTGGGTTATGTGGCCCCCATGCACTGAAAGGAATGTGTCATCTGCATGGCTTGTCCACTGCCTGGCCTTCCACAAGACGGTAAACTCCATGGGTCTGGGACAGGAACTGCCTCATTCTCCCCGCTCCCCATGCACAGCAAGCCTGCCACAGTTCCAGGTTCAATTAAGGAGGGGCAGTTCTGAATGGGATGCAAGAGAAACCTGGAGTCAGGGTGAGGCGGGGCCTGGTAGGGCTGGAGATGGGGGACAGCAGATTTTGGGGAGCCCATGAAGAGGTCAGAGAACAGGTCAGCCCTTCCACCGTGTGCAGCTGGACAACTTGGTCGCATGGTGTCCTCTGCTCCCTGCCCTTAAATAGGTCCACCTCTGGGTCCCTCCCCTGGCCATGTGGCTCTGTACTTCCTGTTTGCAATCCACAGCAAGCTCCCCTCCTGCCCCACCAGCCCATGCAGGCATCGGAGGTCAGAACAGAATAGACCTTAGCCCTGGGCCCCTGGAGAAATACAGGGCAGGGCAATGCACAGCGACAGTCACACAGTCACCAAAAGCCACGCCATGGCACAAGTGTGGCAACTGATGCAGGGTGAGGCATGGTAATGCCAACCCCACTGGCACCAACACGTCCTCACACAGCCCCCAATGCTCACAGCCTGGGGCTCCATCCCTGGAGCCAAGATGAGGCTCCAAGGTTCTGCCCAGTGGCCTCTGGGAAGGGGGCTTGGCTGATGGTCACACACAATAAGTGGCTAACCTTGTCCCAAGGACGACAGTTCACCCCCAAGGAGCAATAGCCCTGTGGACACCACTTTGGGTCATTTTGCTGTTGCAGAGGGGACAAACTTTGGAACCCTCAGACTGTGCTCAAATCCCAGCTCAGCCATGCACTCGCTGTGTGACTGTCAGCGAGTCACTCCAAATTTGAGACTGTCTCTCGATCTGTGAGGTGGGTAGGAATAACTCACAGGGAAATCTATTACATCAGAGATGGGCAATGTTCCAGGTTTGCAGGAAGTTTCAAATGCATCACAGGATGCAGGGAAGGTATGCAGGTGGCCAGACACCAGGGGGGCAGGCATGGCCACTTGCATCGGTGGCTGGGCTCTTCAGCCCCTCTGTATCCACACCCCCTCCATGTGAATCTGCACTTCCCCTCAGAAGAGGCTGTGCTAGATTAAAAATGGCCTTAAATTCACCATGACTACAAGTTTCCCCCAACCCCCCGCTTGCTCCTTCCACCAAGAGGTGGCGTCTGTTTCCCCTCTCCTGAATCTGCTGGCACTGTGAATGGAAAGAAATGCAGTGGTGGTGATGAAATGCAAGTTCCCAGCCTAGGTGGCAAGAGGCCTGCGTGTTCCTGTCTGCTGCAGTCCTGTATCATCATGAGATGGACGCACCTGGGCAGCCCACTGGTCCCAGGACAGGGATGAGAGGCACATGGAGCAGAGCCAGCCTGGCATAGCTGAGCCCAGCCAAATCCCTGACTCTGGAGGAAGCCCACACCTCCACATTTGGGGATGGCTTGTTAGGCAGCAGCAGCTAACTGGCAGGAGAGCAGGAGATGCCAGGCTAAGCAGGGACAATGGGGTGCTGGGCAACCTCCATCATCAGGCACACAGGCCCTGCCCATGGGACCTTGGCCCTGGGGACTGGCCTCATGGAAATGAGGTTATCACAGGAAAGTCACTGCAAAGGAAAGGAACCAATCAGCCTCGAGAAGAGCAGGCCTGCTGTCTCTCCAGGACAGGCTGAGAGCAGGGCAAACTCCATCGCTAGTGTTTATGGATCCACACGGCATCCCTCTTCCGTCCTTTCTGATGCCACAGAGCAGGGCAGGTGCACCAAGAGGTGGTTGCTGGGAGGACTAATTAGATCATTTCTGATGCCTGGCACTTAGATGCCCAACTCAACAGGACCCTTCTTCCCATGTCCAAAGTGGCCATCTCCAGCCATAAGTTTTTTCATTTTCTTTATTTATTTTTTATTTTTATTTTTATTTA